GCTATGAGGTCTCCACACAGCCTTCTCTTCTCCAGGCTGAACAGCCCCAACTTCCTGAGCCTGTCTTCATATGGGAGGTGCTCCAGTCCCCTGATCATCCTCGTGGCCCTTCTCTGGACTTGTTAAAACAGTTCCATGTCCTTTTTATGTTGAAGACACCAGAATTGCACACAATACTCCAGGTGAGAATTTCTAACAAGTCAGAATAGAGAAAAATAGAATTCTTAATAGAGAGAAATGTCTTTTTTTTTCTGCTGTCGATGTAAGCTACCATCCCCTTTTTTACATTTGGGAAGAGCTGAGCAAGTGGCTATACTGATAGAATGATTGCAATATGAAAGGTGAATTGTAGTCCTAAAATGACCAGGACAATTTGACTCCTTCATCTTCCCCGTTCCTATAAATGTGTCTAATCGTGTTGATGCAGGTTCAGGACCCACTGAATGAAGTGAAACATAATGACCCACAAGAGTAAGATGTCCTGTCTCTCTGTGTAAGCAAGGATTAAATAGTGGTTTTAATCTCAGGATGGCTTTGTTGCTTGCATTTGTTCTATGAATTCTTTACTACCCATTACTTAATTAAGCTGAAAACACAAGCCTGGTTTTATCATTACTCAGCCTGTGAGCAATCATTAGGCGTCACTAGGCCAGCTCTTCATGTGGTTTTACAAACCTTTACTTCAGGATAGGGTAAGAATTGCTTATTGGATTTGGCTTGCCTATCCTGAAATCAATGTGTGCTGTCAGATCTCGAGTAGCACACTTCTGCACAATGTGTGCACTATAAAATATAGGTTCAGTAAGCCTGCTTTGCTGTTCATTTCATCAGCATTGTAAACATATGCCAGGGCAAACCCAGAGTCACACACAGCTGAATCAGCCTCCCTCTGCACCATGGAAATACCCTGCTTTCTGGCAAAAATCTTTCCACAGAAAGCTTTCTACGTCATATCATCATGTTTGTCCTTACTGGAGCTCTTTAACCCTTTCTCCTGTGATCAATATCCAGTAATACAGAAGTTCTCTGATGACATTGGCCCTTGTAATATACTTTTCCTTTCTTCCTTTTTCTTTTCTTTTTTCAGGGTTTTGGGTTTGGGTCTGTTTGCCTTTTTTTTTTTGGTCCATTTCACTCTGAAAGCTATTTCATCTCATTCAGTGGAGAAGTCTGTAATTTTTACCTGGTTCTTTACATTTCATCCTCCTCTCCCAGCATTTTCCATCTAGGAAGCCAGGATCTGAGATCCCTCCTGTGTTTAATTTAGTCAGCTTTTCAGATTAGCTCACCACTGCCTGTGTGTGTGAGGGAGCAAATGAAACAGAGCATCAGCTTCATGACTGCTACTTGCCAATAAGATTGGGGTTCAACTTTTCTGTAAGAACAACAGATTCAGCTTAGTGAAAACATTTTATTCTTGTAAGCATCTGTACAGACAATGAGAAAAAGAGAAAACAAGCCAGAAAGTCTTGAGGGTGAAACAGCATTGGAAACAGAGGTTTGCTACAAGAGCCCCAGGTGACAGGCAACCTGGGCTTGCCAAGCTATTTCTGAGACAGGCAGGCAGCTTGCTGAGTCAGTGCTCATTCAGTGTCCTTCAAGAATGAATTAAAAGCAATGAAGAATATGCTTTGCTTCCTTGGAAGGATTTTTTGCCTTTTTTTTTTCCTGAAACTGTTTTGAGCAGCTTTGGCTGAAGGAAATGGAGACAACTGCCATTATCACATAAAAGCAAGACCACTTCCTCCAGGACAAAAGCCACAGGTATATGGGTCAATACGGCAGCTGGAGGTCTTTTCAGACATGTGGGTTTTTAATAGGCAGACTCAGAATAATTGCAGAAGGTTTGTACCAGACCACCTGGAAGCAAGCTTCAGCTGTTTACCAATAAGGATAAGGCACCTCTGCCTAACCTTTCTTGTTACAGGAATTTTACACAGCTTGATTCAATCCAGGCTGCGATAACAAAGCCTCATATATGAGGCTCTCAGAAGACTTTGTTCAGCGGATTTTCCAAATAAGCGCCATACTTTTAATATTGTCATAAATTCACATTAATTACCCAAGAACCTTAGACGTATTTCATAAAGCTGGTTGTCACAGCAGTTGTTGCCATGATACGTGATCTGTTTTGCATTTAGCTTTTTGGTATGGTAATATTACAAAATAGCAGGCTCACTGTGGGGACAAAAGAAACAACCCACCAAGACTCTTTCTTCCTAATATGGTGAAATAAAAGCCTTGGTTTGAGCTGGCTGAAATGCTGATGGAGTCAAAGCCCAAGGATCAGTCTGGTATGGTGTGTGAAGAGCACAGGGGTCATGGTCAAGATTCACACTGGGAGGGCAGGAAATGTTTAAATTCTCTGACCATGACTAAACGATGGGAGTCAGGGATGCTATCAGGGAAAAAGCCGTCTTCTCATCTCAGCAAGTGTTTGGTTCCAGACTGGCGAGAGCATTCCTTCCTGTGCTTGCTGGTGTGGCAGCTCTCAGATGTGCTATATAGCAGATGTAGGGACTGATTTTTCACAAAGGTTTGTACTGAACAGGGATATGAATTGCTCAATAGGCAGCAGCATGGGGGTCTCAGGCGGAGCCCCAGTCTGAAGAGGAGGATGACGAGGGACAGGCTGCAGCTGGAGGATAGGCACCAGCACTAGCAGTACAGTGCCCACTGAGAAGGGGCCCCAGATGCCATTGGAGTGCCAGGAAGTTTTGCCTTTTTCCTTGTTTGTGTTCACTATCACCTTTAAAACAAAAGAGCACAGCTTGCACAGCAGTAAGCAATTGGCTGTTTCCCCCATCACACCAGCTCCTAGCCAAAAAGATTAAGTTTTCTGGCTTCTTCTTAGGGGTTCTGCTTCTGCTGGTTAAAATCTCTGCTTGGGGACACTTGGTATAGTATTAACTGATTATATTTAAGTCCTGTGAGACCTGTTTTTTGTTTTTTCTTTGCTGATGATGATGCAGTGAAGAGAGATAGGTGAATCCATTAAAAAAAAAACCAAACTAAAACAAACAAAACAGAGGCAAAAAAATCCAGATACATAATGTCAGTAATTATAATTTATCAGGTACCACAGTCATTTGAACTAAAGCTGACTGAAACACTCGCGTCTCCCCAGGGAGAGAGCTACATGGAAAGCACTTAAATAGCTTTAACCACACTTGTGTCACAAATTCCTTTCAGATTTGGTTACAGTGGCTTGTTCTAATTAAAACAGTAACAGTTTCAGTGTTATGTTTAAAAGTAAACAATTATTTGCTGTTGTTGAGGACAAAGAGGATAGAAACACTGAAAATAGTACTTCTTTTGACATGTGTCTCTACAGCACCATAGTCCATTTTCTTCTGTTGAAATATTGTCACCATCAAAAAGCATTGTTTCCCAGCAGCTGACCAAGAGCACAATGGTAGGTTCAGCAACTGAATCATTTGTGTTTTTCTTACCTTGATGTGCAATAGGATGTCATTAATTCTGCTACCAGGAAGAAGGGCAAAAAGCAACGAAAAGTACTACCTTGTGTTCAAAAAGAGGCAAGTGCCTGAGCTTTGACTTTCTAAAGCACGGATAATGATCGCGGCTGGATTTTTTGTGCTCCATTGTTTCCACCACAGCTCTCCAACCTGGGGCTCAGACCTAACCCAGAAGGAATTGCCTGGGACTACCCAGACAAAGCACAGAGCCTCCAGGAGTCTCAAGACAGCAGCTAGCCCTTTGCTGACAAGAGAGGATTCAGCAGAGGCAGCAGCATGAAGGGGGAGAAACATGTCCAGTCAGCTTTATTAAATAATATGTTTATACATCCATTATGAAAACTTTGACAAGGAGGGAAATACTGAAAAGGAAGCATCTATTTTTTTAGTGGAGTAAAAGTGATGCCTGTGGTTTTAAACAAAGGCCTGTTGGCAGGATGATGCCATAAAGAAAAGGAAGAGAAAGGGAAACTGTGCTTGAATTAAGTCAGATAAGTGAAGGCCAGAAAACCTTATGACAGAATTTTCCGTTAATTCCTGTAATCTAGCTCTCTGCCATAATTATGTTACCTCCTAACACCTTCTACAAATATTATTGTGGTTATTATTACTGTTTACTGTAACTATTGTAATTATATTTACAAAAGCTGCTTACAATATTACAGTCATAGTAATGTGAAAGAGCAAAGTCAGGCAAGACTTTCATGGTGGGTGTTTTGTAAGACTTTGAACGAATGTATATAACTGCTTTCTAGCGGCAAGAATTTACACGGGAAAAAAATGAGAATAAAGGAGTAAGGAACAAACTTCTTTTTGATTCAATCACTGTACTGAATCATAACTTGAAATTTGATTTTTAGTGAATTCATAGGTTTTTTGAACCTGTGATGGAAACCCCTTGTTTGGCCTAAAACATACTTCATTTCAAAGACGTATTTTGTTAAGATTTCTTTTAACATAATTTAATTCAAGGAAAAAATGAATACTTTTTAATGGCTTTTCAAATAAAATGTAATTATTCTTCTGAATTAAAATATTTCATGTTTCTAATTCTTTTTTGGAGCCAAGATGAGTTTGTAAAATATTTAAAGGTTCCCGAGTCTGATTATTTTTCCCCAAATAAGTTTGCACTAAAGCATTTCAGCCAATAAGCAAACAGGAAGAGATAGAAAGAGAAACTGAGGCACAAAGAATTTAAAATACTTTTCCAGTGTCTCATCAGGTGGGTATCAGTGTTAGAAATAGAAATTGCATCTCGTGAGTCCCCCTCCAGGTGTGTAAAACACTAAAGGGCATTAAAGAGGTAAATCATTAGATTAGATTGAAAATAAATTTCCAACCATAACTATTATGAGCAGCAGAAATCATGGTGACCACAGGAACTGTGCACTTTGCCTCCTGGATCTTGTTCCCTGCTCCTTTGCACAGTCACTGGTGAAGCCTTAATTGTGTGCTCTGTGTGCATGGTACAAGTTAACCTGACAGAGAGACATTTTTAATTTCATTTCTCTCTCTTTTCAGAAAGTCTTTCTCTCGTTGTCGAAGAATTAACAGGATGCTTTCCAATGAGTCAGCACCTCCTCCTGCATTCAGTCGCTCCAACTCACAGGCCTCCATGGACAGCACCTCCATGGAGGACTTCTGGTGCGAAGTTGAGAGCATCAAGGAGAGCAGTGAAGATGGATCTGACGAAGCAACACTCTTGGAGTTCAAACCTGCTGATGGTGAGCACACAAACAGCGCTTCTTCCTCACACCTTGGCTTTGACTTGTTTCTTTAGTCATGCCCTGATCTCCCTTGCTGTGTTTCCCAGTATGAGCAGAAGTGCTAGGCTGTGTCTATGGTCACCATAGCTCCACTCCTGAACATCATGGTAAATCTACAAGATGTCACTGTAAAGAAACAATAATTCAGTCTGGTTCATGCACTGGGGCTGGTAATTGACTTCTGAAGTAAGTTTTTTTGTATTGATCTTATTTGTGCTTCAAGAGGATAGATATGGTGTAAGAACAAAGAAGCACTAAATGAAAACTTCATCTCCAGCATTAAATAAACTAAACCAAAAGATATAAAAGGGCCGGGCCACAAAGTTCTTTTAGTGTACTGGAATTTTAAATTTTTTACCTTTTGGTTTGATGTATAAGTTATGAAATTCTTGAAGCAAGTTTTAGTTAGATATCATTTGGTGCTATCAGAAATTTAATAACTGCCCGTTTGAGATTGCTCCATTCAAATATAATTCAAAGAGATATTAGAGATAAGTCTGAGTATATGGATGCCTACATTATTCAGACTCCCCACTTGTCAAAATTTATTCATCACTTACACGAATTATGCTGAAGGTATTACGATTTCATTCTGTTACCTTAATGTTTTCCCCCATCCTTTTTCGTAATATATTTGGAAAGACGTGTAATAGCCTGCACTAGCTTGTTGCAATGCAACTTTGGGTTAGATTATTTGATAGCATCTAGAACAGCAGTTCTTATTTTTTCCAGTTATGACCCCACTTACAAATGCATTATATTGTGCAACACAAAATACCAGGTGTTACTATATGATGAAAACAAGGTCACGACCCACCAATAACTTCTTCAACACTTTTGTGCAACACAGCCACTAGTCTGGTAACTACTGATCTAGGGATAGATTTTGAAACAATGGTGTGTTCTTTCTACACAATTATTAGCATGAGTGACAATGTATTTTTCTTACCTTGGTGTGCAACGGGATGTCATTAATTCTGCTACCAGAGAGAAAACTTTATTAAGCAACCAAATATGTAATCATAACCAGTTATGATAAGTATCCCTCACAGAGATACCTAGCTCCAACTATATACTGTTTCCATGGGGAATACCTCCCACTTGCTGGTTCCCAGTAGGGGTCTCCTAGAAGCAAAAGAAGACATTTGTTTACCAGAAGTCTTGGACTGCAATGAGGGTTATGGTCTGGCAGCTTAAATCCAAACTGCATTTCTTTGTGCTGGCACATGGTTTCAAATAAAAATAGGCAGAGGTGTAACACTGAAACTTTATGGTTATTGTTATGGGAAGGCAGAAGAGCAATCTGCCTCAATCAGTTTGACCTTGTTGGGAAAATTCCTGTCTGATCGTACTCTTTAGCTTGGAGACCCCAGAAAGAAATTGTGAACCTCTCAGTGTCCCCTTCATACAATTGTCACTGTAAACTGGGTGTCCCTGAATTGTCTTCAGGGCTGAGGGAATGTCACATATCTGTGAGTTGCTAAGGTGGGTAAGTTAGTAGGACAAGGCAATACAGGAGCCCATTTTCCATGTGCTCAGAAACTTTTCCATCAGTTTCATCACTCCTGAGCTAAATCTTCACAACACTGCAAATTCTGGTGCAGTCCCATGTTACCCTTTGTCTAGTGACATCTCATTACACTGCACTGATTTTTAACCCTCTGTCCTGAACTGAAAATGAGACAGCAAGGTAAACTGCAATACATCTCCACAAGTCATTTATGGTCATATTGTTGTTTCAAACACATATATATTGTATACACACACATAAAATCAGGCAGTGCTTGTCCTAGTTACTAACCTCAGGCATACATTCAGTCTGGGATAATAAATCTCACAAATAATAGTGAGTAGTTCTATTAAGCTCCTAATAGGATAATACTCCTTACTGAGGATCAAAACACTGCAAATCATTGTGGAAGTCCTCAAAGCAAAATAAAAGCAAATATTCACCACCCTTTTATGATGTCTTTGAGAGGAAGAGATGCAGAATCCTTAAGAAGGAAGCCAAAGGGTGATAGCAGCCAGGCATCACTGATATTGTCAAAGCCACAGTGTTGTTTTATGCTGGACCACATGTGTAAGAGGAAGACATCAGCACACTTACTCTGTTGACATTAGTAACTATGGACAAGAAAGGTCAGATCACAGCAAGTAATACAAGGGATGGAAATGTAAGGGAAGAGGAAGTCATGGAATATTTAAGATGGCAGTGATATGCAGAACTGCTTTAAAACTTGGTGTTACAAGGCTGCAATGCTGTGAGTTACTTGAGGTTATAACTGACAAATTCAAAGAAAGGCACGTGTCTTTCCTAGCAAGGAAAGACATCAGAGGAAAAGAGACTTACCAGCTAGAGGGTAGCTCTGTTTGTCTTGCATATCTGGCAATATCAAGACCCTGCTGTATAAGTAGCTACCACTATAAAAACAGTGTTTTGTAAAACAACATGGGGGGAGGGGTTGTCCTTTTTTAAACCTATGCATCATAAAATTCTGAGGGTTTTAAATGCAGGAATTCCTTCTCTTTAACAGTTTTGCTTCTCTGTTTGTTGCGATTCCTTGGTCTATTTTTTGTGAGGGGTTGGAACAGGAAAAAGGCAAAAGCCAGAGAAAACAAGTTGCCGGGGTGGCTGGTAGGCATACAGAATTTCATGTCTGCTTTACTATTTTTCATAGAATCATGAAAGCCAAGTTTGATTAAAAACTCAATTCTTGGGAAGAATATGTCAGGACAAAAGCCAAAATGAGACTGAAACATGAATGGATGCGGCTAGAACAACAGCACACAGAAATAAAACCTTGTTAGAAAGAAGGGAGAGGATGGCAGAAGAACCCTTGGTTCAAGGCTTACAAAGAAGGGAAAGGAACAAACTGTCATCATATCTGTGGATACAGAAAGGATTGGAGCATAGACAAGTTGTTTCAGGGGATACAGGGCCTGTTATACCCCTGTCTAACACAAAGCAGGGTGCAGAGAAGCAGATACCTTTGTAGAGCTTTGTAAACAGACAAGGCAGTTAACAACAAAGTCAGTGATTGTACATGTAAGATGATTTCACTTGTCCCTATGGTCCAGTCCTGTAATTTTCTTTTGTGTATCTAACTGCCAAAGTGCAGCAAACTGGTATCTATCAATCTGCCTGCATTCTGATGTCAAGAAGAGGCAATAAAGGGAGAGTGGAAATGCCAGCCTACCATTAAGACCAGTGCTGGGACAAGAACAATAAGTGCATTGACTAGTTGTTTTATAGGCCATGCTGCAAATTAGTCTATTTCCTGTCTGACATGTTTGTTTGTAATACCTCTTCTTTAGTCAAGGCTGGAATGCAATTATTGTCTTGTCTCAACCAGCATATTGTTGAGCTGGGATTGTCCAGAGAACTAAAACAAAAGCTCCTATAATGAAGAGAAATTTTAAAATACTATGATTGATTACTTTTAAAAGCAGACAAAAAAGCAGTTATAGCAAAATTTAAAATTACTGAATTATTTAGAGACGGTACATCAGGAGCTTCTCTCTGTCCTATGTTGACATTTAATGTAACAGGTTTGTAGCTGAAGCCCTTTATTGGCTTTGCATGGCAAGGTTTTGGTGGCAGGGAGGGGGCTGCAGGTGTGGTTCCATGAGTAGATGCCAGAAGCTTCCCCTATGTCCGATAGAGTAAGGAAAGAAAATGCTTTTCTACACTGTGTATAATCTCACTATGGAACCAACTGCAGTATTGAACCAGTAGAGAAACAAGTATTGAACAGGATCAAAGAAGATACTAGTCACTAATCAAGATATCAAGAATTGCTGGGGTGTAGAATATTAAACAGTTTTTAATTTTTTGGAAATCAGAATGATATCTAGGATAGCTACTTTTGCATCTTCCACCCCTAGCTGGCCTCTGATACCTACCCCTAACTGGTGCTTGCTTTTTAGTGAGCAGCTCCAGCTCTTACTCATCTTGTTCAAAACAGGCTATTGGACCAGGTGGACATCACATTTCTCTCAGTGTGGCATTTTCACTAGGTGTCTGATGAACAGCTGACTCTCTGCCATGTCAAATATTATCTTTAATGTGCAAATATATTATTCTGTTGTATACATCACTTCAGCATTTTTGTGTATTTTAATTGGAATACCAATTTAATTTCCACTTGCCAAATGGCTTACTGGTAAAACATGGTATAAAAGGTAACTGAGGAGATTTATGTTCTTGAATGAGGGGTTAGTTTTACCCTGCCATGTCAGATTAGTTACTCTCCTGCCTTCTTCACACAAACATGTTGATGCACAGGTTAAAAGTTCCTCTTCTGTTCTTTTCCTAAGCCTCTCTTGTGCAGACACTGCCAAACTGAAAATTGACAGTATGTTGAAAAAACTAAATTTGCTTACACTTGTGGCCTAAGAAAGATTGGAATTGGAGTCTTCTTGAGGTAAAGGCTAAGGCAGCAGTCTATCATGCCACCACCCTTCCCTCAGTCCCCTCTTCCCCCCTTACCAGGCCTGGTAACGCACTGTCTTCCTCCGCAGAAGGGGAGTTGGAGGCAGAATGGCTGCAAGATGTAGGTTTATCTACATTGATCTCGGGAGCTGAAGAGGAAGATGGCCAGGCCCTGCTGTCCACTCTGACCCGAACTCAAGCTGCTGCCGTACAGAAGAGGTACAACACCTACACTCAGACCCTGAGGAAGAAGAATAAGCACACAGTCCGGGATGTGCGAGATATCTTTGGCACCAGTGACTCCTCTGTAAGTAGCTAATGCATCCTACCAAATGCCTTTGAGCTTGATTTATATGCACTTTGCAAGTAGCTCATCAAAGCTTCTACCAGACAGGAACACCTTTTCTGCCAACAATGTATGGACAGCCAGTAGCAGTTTCCAACACTAAGTCCAGACTTTTAATGTTGTATTTCCTACATTTTGAGAGGAAAGGAAGAAACCAAAAAATAAGTGGTGCAGTTTTGCAGCTAACCTGTAACATAATGTGGCATTTGTTGCCAGCCTTCCTCCTGCAATCTCCTATCAAGACTAACATTTACTCCCTTATTTTTTGGAAATTGGTGAGTTACTCTTGGCAGCTATTCAAATTTTTGCTGGCTTCTGGGGACACATGCTATTTACTCAGCAGTCTCAATGGTGAAGTAAAACTTCTCTAATGAAGCAACTGGGCTTCAAATATGCATAAGCAATTAAACCCCTGCCAGCATGATTGCAATTTGTACACTGACAGTTACATTTCACATACATAGCAAATGAAAATCTATTAACTGTTAATTTGCTTCATGGCCTCAGAAATGAGCATTGCCTCTGATGTTTTCACCCGCTTTCCCCTGATGATCCCTACACATCTTGATTTTTGTGAATGCATTCAACTCTGTGAATTTAGTCCAGTGTACAAAAATTGCACGCACGACCTTACGTATGTTACTCATGATATCCTAAATGGGAGTCACCAGTAAACTCACCTTTGAAATTAATATTAAAATTCTTGCCACTACAAAATTCCATGAATTTTTTTTCATTATGAAATTGTATTGTCTTTTTTTATTTGTCCTACCTTCTCCTCAAAGTTTGCATCCTGGATAAATTTAAAATTTGGGAAACAAAATTGTAGCTGCATATTTATATTAAATTTGCAAAGATATAATGGTTGAGGAGGTAACTTACTGTCTCCAATTTACATATCTGGGCTATTTTGAACCTCTTGCACATATCCCACAAATGTATCTAGAAGCATCCAGTAGTTTTCTGTGGGCAGACTTTCTTGCATGAGAAATCATCAGGCATGTTTGCATGATCATTGAGAAGCTGATGGCACTTCTTATTAGATTAGAACACTTCTCCTGATTCAAGTATCTGTAAACCTTAATGTGTTTAAAAATTCAAATAATTATAAAAAAGCTTAAGTTTCCTAATAAATTTCAATCAGCCAAATAATACCAGTTCTCTCAGACGGGCACATTATTGATCTGGTTTTCACCAGCTTATTTTTCAACTCTTGTTTCTTACTTGCTAAAGGAATCAGAAGCTTCAAAACCATCACCCTTCAAATCACTGTTTTATCTCCTCTGAAATTCAGTTCACTTAATAGTTCTGTACTGTGAAAGCCTGAAAGACCACATAACTAATTAGGACATCTAATTCTTTTTCCCACAAAAATATGCAGTTCTGCAGGGTGCTTACCTAAATGTTAAACACAGATACACAAACACAGCTGCAAAGCACACCATCACCTCCCTGCAATGGGCTGTGAAACAGTTGGTATTTTTAAAAGCCTGAAAGGTTCCCAGCACATTCCCACTATTGCTCCTATCTCTGCTGCTTATTATGGGATTTAGAAACTTTGTCCTAATTATCAGCTCCTCAGGGACAAACACACTACAAGGGGGTTCTGCCCTGACCTGAGGGTTTCTAAGCTGTTCTTTGTAAAGGGGTATCAGCTGAAGCAGTCCCTCGGCTCTCTTGCCTCTTTGGGCATGGCACTGCAGCTGTTGGTGAATCACTTTGGGAAAGCAATCCACATTAAAAACAACCCAGCTAAAAAATAAGAGCGTCAGGGAACAGGGAGGGGCACATCTTTTCAGCACAGCTGCTGAAGAGAGGCTGGTAAAAAGCCTGCTTGAAATGATATGCAGGAGTTTTGCTTTCTCATCCTGCTTTTTAGTTGGGAAGGGGAGAAGCACATCTGCTGCCAATAGCAAAACAGCTCTAATTGTTTCACATAACTCTATAATCCTCCCCATTAGGAGGATGGATTTACAACTTCTCAACAACCTAAGCGTTGCAGGAGCCTAGAGGAATGGATCAGAGGATGGATTACTCTCTTGTGTGGCTAATGATGAGAGAAAAGGTGATTAGCTCACTAGGGTCACCTGAGATGAGATTTAGGGGACACTGAAGAATAGTTGTCATCCAGTGAGGGGAGGATGAGAGACTTGCCCTATTTTCTTCTCTCTGCTCTGGAAAACACCTGCCTACTAGATGTTTGCTATTGCTACCTCTGTGTGGGTCAACATAGAGCAAAAGGTACTTTTCCCTCATCCTGCCTTGAAGTTCATCCTCTCAGAGCAGGAGTGGTCCCTCAACAGCCCAAATGGATTGAAATGAAAGGAAATTAAGACATATTTCACTTTTTTTTTTCTTTTTTTGTGGGTTTGGGTTTGCCCATCTTGGAAAGGTGCTGTGATCCCTGGGGCAAAATGCAGCACCTGTAGTACCTTGCCTCCCCAAGACTGATGCCTTGGTGGAGTAGCATGCCCCAGTGGAGATGCCTCTGGTCTGCTTGAGACAAGCCTACACAAAGCAGGCTTAAAAGCCAGCCACGGAGATTTTTTTAATCGCTGTGGCCTGATTTTCCTTACTGCTGGTACCCTGCTGCTTCCATCAAAAGCTATTGGCTTTGCTAGTCCTCAAAGGCTAGAAAAATCAACAGCAGAATATAAATGGGGGGTGAAACATTGATTTTATTATTGGAGGGAGGAAATGAAACATTGCACTCATTAACAGCCCAATCATGTACGTTGTGATCAGCCAAAACTCTGCAAGAGTTGGAGGAGCACTTCACTTGAGCAATGCATGAGGAAATCATGTCCTAATTAAAGAAGAATCACTAACTAACCCAGAGCTATTTGCATGAATAGGTATTTGTGATGACAGTACTTAGAAATATGAAAATATCCAAACCATGAGCAACTTGTATCCTGACCAGAGCCGTAAGGCTATCCTTCTCTGTCTTTATTTTATTTTACTTAACTGCAGGACTGCTGATAGAATTTGATTGCTTTGGTGCTCCAACGATTTTGTTTTGCATCCTCTACAATAAGGATAGCTACTGAAGAGCTGTCTACTTGATTTCCATCTTTTTCTTGCTCTTCTGGTTTCCTCTTCCAATTGGAAATTCCTGTGTATATTGTGCAAGTAAAGACTGGGCTCACTTTTAGTACTGGATAATGAGAACTGTCTAATGAAACACTTTCAGTCAGAAATCAGGATATGAGGAGTCTTCCCTTTGCTGAAGCCCCAGCCAAATGAATAAAGCTGTTCCAATTTAAAGACATAATTTGACTCTTTGCCTTTCACATTCATTAAGACACAAGCTTCCAAAGATTTTTAATCTTTTTTACCGAAGAAATAATCTGGATCTTTAAAATTCATGCATTAAAATGGTTTTATTCCCAGTCTTTGCTTTCTTTTTATCATATTATCATAAGATCAAAAAAAAAATCCCCCCAAACGGGGAGGAGGGGGGTCCTGTTTGGAAGAGATTTTCACAAAAGAGACATAGATTTGGCTTCTTTATACACTCTCACTGTGGAGGCTGGGAAATGAGACCAAGAATAGCTACCCCTGATACTGTATATGGTTCACGTTATTCAATTGCCACAAGCTAAAGCAGGCTGCAGACTGTTGCAAGCACTGCTGGGTGGTGGAGCAGAGTTGTACTGTCAGCTCCCCTCTGCCAGCTTCACCATGCTTAACACAACCTGGTTACTGCAGCTGCTTCACTATTGATTTCATCTGTATAACAAGGCTGGAAGGATTTCCTCCTTAATAAACTTGACTCACTGCAAATCTATTCTGAATACTGTTCACAGGGTCAGGCATTTTGAGCAGTGAAAGTACATCAGCCAGTTGCTACCATTAATTTCTCCATCTGGACCTTAAGCAGCAGAGTAATTACTTCTATGTTTGATTTTCCCAAATTGCTGAGGCTGGTTTAACCATCCCCTCCACTTCCATATTCTCACCTGAAATTTGTAATGCTTTTTTTATTGTCCTAAAACCTTTTGTGTAAATGTTATAGGATTTTATCTCAAAAGCATCCTACAGTTCTCCTTTTAGAAAAATCAATGGTCCTTACAGTCTTCTGGCAAAGGAAGTCCACGTGACTCAAATCCTGTTTGCTATCAAGTTTGTGGACCATTGAATGGACTGTCTCAAGAGAAATTTTATTCGTTACATTTGACTTTGTTACCCAAATAGCTCAGAGGATAAGACTGAATAAAACAACTGCAACATTATTTCAGGCTTCCAATTGGAAGAGCTGCCTGTCTTTTGAATATCTGACATTTTATAGCAGCCTGAATGTTGCTCCTGTGCATTGGCTACAAGTGGGGAAGACAAAATTTCTGCCCTGAGGCATTGCTGCTTGTTGATAAACAGCCAATTTAGCAATTTAAAGAGCAATTTAAAGAGCAGCTATTGGGGGATAATGGGGCCAGGTTCAGATGGAAAGCTGGAGCATCTCCAACGGGGGGGGGGGGGACGGGACGGGACACGACGAGACGACACTAGAGAGAGGGTGAGCCAGGAGATTTACAAAGGGGTAGCTCCAAGGGCTCCCATCAGGCTTCAGAGGACAAAAGTGGAAATACGAAACTGGTTTGGGACATAGCTATTTTCACTGAGTATCCTTCAGAGCATTTTTTAAATTCCTGGCTTTGTTGTTTTTTTTCTACCCAAGAAAATGCAGATGAGCTGCTACTGCCCTGTGTACACATAAACACTCAGATTTGTCTTTATGAGTCCCAGAACCACACAGAACAAGGGCATAACTCTGCTGCCAAGAAGAGGTGGCAGTGCTTCAAAGTCATCCCCTGGGTTTCTGAGCCCCTTTTCTGCTGTACCACACACACTTCCCCCATTTTCATACAGTGCAGAATGATTTCTGGAGTGGAAAGAAACTAACTGGACTATGGAAAAGGTTAGGGTTTTTTTTTCCTGAAACTTTTTTTGCAGCTCACTCATAAAGCGTTAGCATATAACCTATGGGAGGACATCCATCCAACAATTTGTTGGTGTCCAAATCCTGAAAGGCAGCGATCAACTTGATTTCTGACAGGTGCTTGGAAGCAGCGGATATGCAACATGTGTCAGAGAGCCCTCAAAAAGATTTGTTGCCAAAATGATTAAAAGCAGGATGGATTACAATTTGACAAGGACCTTTCACTTAGTACAATTATGTACAGCAATTTACTTGGCTAATTTCAGTCATTATATAGGACAAGACTCATTAGCTACAGTGAGCTGCAATATTACTGACCTCAACATAATCCAAATCTATGCAGCATAGAGAAGATTAATTCTCAGGCTTGGCTATGAAAAATGTACTCTGGAGAATCACAACAGGTTGTTTAAATTTGGCAAAGGAGTGTAACCTGAGAATGATTGCTTGAACTGTAGCAGTTTCTGTCCATAGACGTTTACCTTCACTGCAGTCTGATCGTTTTTCCTTGCCTATCAGCCCACATTTGAGACAGTTCCAGTGTCACCAGTTCCTTCTAATGGTATCCAGCTTCCTGGGCAGAAGCCAGTTTGGAAATCAGTTAGCTGTGAGTATGCCAACATGTAACCAGTGTTCACTTCCTCCTAGGAAAATGATAGACAGAAAACCTTTTGTGGTTCAGAGGTTAGTCCCCTCTTTTATGTTGCTGCATGTATCTCCTTAAAATCGTTGTCAGCTTATTGTCATGCAGGAACTAAAGTTTCTCATTCAACAGCAGTGTTGTACAGACACAGACTGCTGCCCTTGAGGCATCAGTGTCCAAAAAGTACTGATCATTGCAAGGCTGTGAATGTAAAAATAACCTCTAAAAATATGGTCCAGAATTTGTCCAAAATATGACAGCAGTGTATTTTCTTTTTGCAAATCATGACAAGAAAGGTGCATATTTCTTTGACATTTCTTCTCCAGTACTGCAGAAACTGTAGTATTAGATATTTATAATTTTTCTGCTTCTGCCTTATTATTCTGATCTACTAATGGTGTTATTTTGGACATCCGTTAAACACTTTGCTCCGACAGTGGCTGGCAGTGCCAATGAAAATGATTGCTCTGCTCTGCTCAGTGTCTGTATAACTGCTAGCAGCCTTCCATGGGAATACGGAAGGCTTGTTTTGAAAGCCCTTCCCGTCACCGCTGTTCAGAGCTTAACTAAATGGATATTAATAGAATCATAGAATAGTAGAACAGTTTGGGTTGGAAAGGACCTTAAGATCATCGAGTTCCAACCCCTCTGAGTTTCTAAACCAGAACCTTAGATGCTTACCTGTATTGCCACAAACATTTTCCTTGGTTGCAAAAGCTGCCCTGCTGAGACCTCTGCACCTCAAAAAGTTATATTAGAACAGCCAGGGAACCAAATGGCCAGGGTACCATGGACTGTCTATGGTCCCAGGTCCATGGGACCACAAGAGAGATGGTACCACAAGAGAGATGGAAAACGTCTTAAACAGCTTGGCCAATAGGTAACATCTAAGGCTGTAGTTTAGAAGCCAGGAGGCACTTACTAAAACAGAGCTTTTTCATGCCAAAATGGCAAAACAGTGTTGCAAAATTTTAAGTCCCTGTATCTGTAAATACAATGATTCAAAAATCATGGGGCATGCACTTGTTTACAAAACATGTCATGATTTTTAATTCACTTTCTGATTTCCATGGCTTGTGAATGCACCTGGGTCATGTTAGTAAACTCTGCACTCCTGGGGGCTGAAATTTTACTTCACTTCCAATGAAAATTATGATTCAGTTCCAATTTGGACTTTAAGGAAAACCAAAAATTTGTCACAAGATGTGAGAGATCAGTCATAAAAGTTGGCAACACTGGAACTCACATGTGTTATCATACTTCAGACTTCATCAGAATAGCGTATTTCTGTGCTTGATTTTACTGATTTCAAAAATTTTCCTCTGGAATCTACTAATTTCAGGAGGTGACAAAACCAGAGTAAAGCAGTAAGTCTTTTCGCAATATCTGCCAGAAATTCCAGTAGTAAAGTGTTTTACAAACTGGAAGTCTGTACATTGTATCCTGTTTTGGTGCTACAAACCTAAATTAGCAACTGTGAATAATACACATACGTGAGCATATAAAATATATGCACAATGTCTTATAATTGTACGTAAGTCAACAGTAACCTAAGAAACCATGTCAACAGTATTTTTATTTCAGGAACTCTTATTTTTAATTGTTCATTAGACAAGTGCCACCACAGTTTGCTGGCCTGGGTAGACAAGGATGGAGTATAAAAACTTGATAATTCCTGATAAACAGGAAGTTCCAGCTTGACTATCTTTCTCACGAAAAGAAACAAGTTAAATAATCTAAAATGAAAATAGGGATTTTATTTCTAAGGGGTTATTTCCTCCAGACAAAACAGGAACATGCTGTGGTTTAAACTGAAATTCCTCTTTGAAGAACTTCCTTTATTACTTTCTCAAGATTTTTGTCATCTTGCTTCACTTTTTTAATGTCTCTGTACTAAATGCAGGCATACATTCAGCATTCACATAAAATTTCCCTTATTTTCAGCTAATAGCTGTCTAGACTGTGGACTAGATAAAGGCAGCCCATCCGTAACAGAGGAGCTCTCCTATGAGGTTTCTTTCTCAGAATCCATTACAGTTCTTCCAAAAACCCAAGAATGGCCAAAAAACCAGAGGTTCAAAAAGGAAGACTCTGCTTTGCCTGTAAGTTTGTTCTCAACATATTTCAATTGTTTTCTTTAATGCAGTAATTTCCTGCTTTATATCCCCAGCACATTGGAGTCTGTTAAGACATTAGCTGGAGTTTGCTCTGTGTGATTTATAGAGACTGCTTGCTGTGCCTGCCTACCACTTCTGACTGATTCCCAGAGAGGCACCAAAGTTAATCTGGATATTGAAGCTTGGTTTTGACTTGAACTTGTCTTGAACCAGATGAATATGTGTAGCTCAGTCCACAAATACTGCATCATCTACACATTTTTCACAAAGAAATAAAGACCAGTTACTGCCACTAAAACTAGCAATCATTTTCATTACTGGCCTGTACTCTTACTTTATTCCCCCCCAGATTATCTGCCTTTGTTAATGCATAGATTTAAAATCGCTTCACAGATGAAGGCAGGAAAGCAAGCCTTAGTCCTGCAGCAGTACTGATTGTCTGCAGTCATTATTCAGTGCAATTACACTATAGGAGATAATACATGAATAGTTAAAGGAAAGTTTATCACACCATACCATATCATATCATCCAACCAGACATACACTGAGCAGTTGTGTCATTATCTGGAATTATTTCATGAAGCCAAGGAAGTCAGTTTTCTGTTTCCATCAGCCCTCACAGCTTCCATTACTGAAAACTGGAGCATTAGGTTTGTGCTTTCAGATACCATCATTTCAGTGAAATGTATGAAATAGCTGTAAATTACTTGGAAGCATTTCCTGAATGTTATAATGTCCTGAGGTCCTGAACTAATCTGAAATGGTTGCTATCCACACAGACGTTTAATTCTCTAAGAATTATCCGTTTGTCCATCTCAGGCACCACCAAGGAAGAATAACCGGAGATGCAGAAGTAAGCTCCTGTGTTGAAAGGAGGGATAAAACACCAAATAGATTATGACTGGTGTAAAATTCCTGTGCTTTACTGTGTCTGAGTTTTGTGTAGTGGGGATAATTTGGTGTCCTGTGAAGAGTAAGGATATCTCTGCATTCATCATGATTTTGGCAAAACAAAGGTTCCTCCTTGCTCCATGTAATAGCAAACCTAGGACCACAGCCTTCACTGCAGCACACACGTACAGATTGTTCTCTGCAGCAGCTTGGACAATTTCCAGTTGATATAGCAGGGAAACTGATGACAAACAGGGAAAGAAGATTCCACATTGATTATCATGGACTTGTGAGATGCATAATTAGTTAATATTAGAAAAGGACAGTATTGTGCTGTAAATGAACTATTCTGCATGCAGGACATCATTTTGTGTGCTTGGAAGAGTGCATGAGAGATATGCCAGGTCGTCACAGACAGTTTCTGAATAAAGTCAAGAATTGCAGCTGTTGACATTGGCATTTATCCTGCTTCACATGCTGTCACTATCATATCAGTTTTTTACTACACGGCTCTGAGAGCAACAGGCCCCAGCAAAAAAAATCACTTCTTGTTACACAGAATGCCAGTCACCTATACTCTGAAGGACTGTATCTCTTTCCTCAAGGTGGGCCAATGAGGCCAGACTGAAGTCTACACAACAACATACTTTCTCCAGAGCAGGTCTGACACAGTAATGTAATCAGCTTCATGGATGGCATATACTGAGAGGTACAGAAATAGACCATATATACCATAAAATACAGTGTCTCCTGCAGCTCCCAGAAGACCAAACTCAACATCACTGTCCTCGTATGTTTGCATGTAATTTTGCCAACATGGGACTATGATCAACATGACTTAATTGAAGATATTAGAGAACTAAGAGTCAGTAAGCATTTCAGGCCCATCTTACGATAATGCATAGTTCCATATAGAAACAACATATCACACGATATTAGACATGATCCTTAGCCAAAATGCTAGTAATCTAATTTCAGAATATCTTGGCCTCCTTCACTACTGCATATTGTGACTGTTCGTAAGAAAAATCACAGGAAAATTGTGACACAAGACAGAAGAAAGTGGCCCAACCCCAAACCTTGTGTTAACACTGCATCACATCATTATGACCCTAGGAGTCAACCAGCCACCATGGAAAATTGTTGTAGCTAAACTTTGTAATTGGGTTTGGACTGTTTGTCATTTTTTCTTGGCAGACATACTTTTTCTCTTTCACCTTAGAAAATATATGTGATTTTTTCTTATTTTCAAGAGTATTTATTGTGCTTTGACCGCTTTTTTGCATCACTGGAACTAAAATGCATAAATATTCTTTAGTATTTTATGTGTCTTCAGAAGAGCACCCTCTGTGTAGCTTTTGTTACGTTAAGTCTCAGCGTAAAAGTCACAGTGGAATTGCTGCATTCTAGGGAGGGAAGATTCTAGTCTAAAATGCCCCAGACAGCATGTAAATTAATTATTCCATCCCCTACACTCTTTCTCCCCTAGTTATGATTAATCTTTATTGAAAGAGCATGTACACTGTGATTTAGGAAGTCCTAACCTCCATGATCTAGATGTCCTTTGTCCTCTCTTTTTTCTTAATCTGTGTGACTGGCTTCATCTAAAAATGACCTATTGAGTGAAAATTTGTTTTAAAAAGGGAGGACTGGGCTGAAATCTCCCAAAGCAAAACATTATTAAAGGCTGTGTTTCCACTCAGTTCCCTAAAGGGAGGAGATGATTTGTAATGTTATTTATTTATACCTCTGTCAATTACTGGTTTAAATTACAATTAAACTGAAAAAACATACAATACTAAAGATCCACAGTTCTCTGAAAAGCATTGGGGTTTAGTATAACTTTGTTATTATGTCTAACAATTATGTCAAAAACTGATGGGTGTTTGTTCTTTTTGACATTTGTATAAATGCTTCTGTCATGAATCAACATTCCTGTGTCTGGTCCGCAACACTGCAGTTTCTAAAATATGTAGACATCTTCACATGTCCCCAAATTACTAAGTATCATTTAGTTCAAGCCTACTGAATAAATTATTTCTTAGCTACTGGGAGTCCTGTTTCTAAGCCTAAATGCTTCTTGAGTAATTAAAACTACCAGCAAATGGCAGGTTGGCATCAGGACTAAGTGATTTTGCTTCTGGGTTTTTCCTCAGATCTTTAGTTTGAACTCTCCTGTAATACCTCATTAATTAATAGTAATATGCAAAGCAGACACAGATTCATTACACACGCACACACAATTGATACACAACCATTTCCATGATGAAATGTGTCAGCTACTTCAACAGCATTCAAAGACGCTCTGGGGGAGGCAGAAAGAGAGAAAAATGTTACATCCTGCTGAAATTGGGCAAAGTTTAAGTAGCACACAGCTCATTTGTCCCAGCTGGAGTACAGGCAATGAGGTTAATATTACTGCCCCAGCACCATTTACTAGTCAAACTTCAAGGGAACATGATAAGCAAGAAGCTCAATTTTATGTTTCAGATGGATGCAAGTTATAGCAGCATACTGGGCCAATAGACTGTATTGTAGTTCAACTCTTTGGTATTATCCGTCTACCCTAGTATTACTACCTATCACATACTGTTATCTCTTTCAAAAGAAAAATATCACTTCCTGTCATTTTTGTGCAAATAAAGATGCAACCCATCTCTACTGTAGAAATTCATTGTACGGAAAAGCCGGTTTGGACTGACAGAAGTTGGAGACCTCTCTCCTGAAGACATGAAGAAGATCCGCTATCTCTCCCTGATTGAGCTAACTGCTTTCTACGATGCGCTGGGTGTGGAGCTGAAGAGGAACCGTGCAGAGAGGGTGCGGGGACGAGGTATCGTGCTGTGGCATCCCCATGGTGGCCCCCTGGGTGCTGCTCAACATTGCAAAGAAGACATGTACGAGGCTGTGTTTCCTGTTTTTCACCTTTGTTGTTATTATTTTTAAGAAAATGGCCTGTTTGGAGTCCCTCTCACTGTACTGCTGGAGAATGATCAAAAGAAGGTTCCTGGAATAAAAGTTCCCCTCATCTTCCAAAAAGTGAGTGTAACTCAACCTGCTCTGCCACCAAGATTTGCTTTTCCATTGTTTGCATTGACACTTAAAAAGAGTCATCAGATAAATGAAGATGCAGGCTTTACAGAGTTGGTGTCTGCAGGTTGTCTGTGTGTGTGTTGTGGATTGAAAACCTTGTGGCAAGAAGACAGAATTTGCTCCTTTTGTGTGTTTTATCTGTGGTGGGGACCCCTTTCAATTTCTGTAATTACATCATACCGTACAGGAAACCTCAGGAAACATATATCTGGCTTTCTGTTTCCCTTTCTCATTAAAGAGCCATGCAAAATTGTGTCTGTGTGCAGAAGAAGCAGAGGTGAGTTGTCTCAGGTGTTTTACTTTCACATGACCTTAAACTGTAGGTATAGCTTAGCTACTATTTCCAGAATGAAAGTAGTATCTTCTCACTGAGATTTGCATTACAAGATGTCATTTATGTAAGTCATTTGACAATACAATGACATCCAGTGTCTGTCTTGGAGGTACACAAACACAAGCACACATACAATTACACATGATATCGAAATGACAACAAATTTCCCTGCAAATACTGACAAAAGAGAAAGTGGTGTGGAGTGTCAGGGGAAAGACTGACATGACATGACTTTGCAATCAGCTCTCCTGTCAAGATACCATGGGAAATTAGAAGGATCCAAAAGCTGGGACAGGAAGCAGAGGTGGTGATGAAAACCCAGAGCTGTATGAATAAATGCTAGGAAATGATTTTTTTGTTGTTGTTGTTCTAAATTACATTAAAGCAAAGCATATTTATTTTTTTAATAAAGAAAGTGGAAAGCCTATTCCTCTATTCACAAAAATTTCAAAATAAAATATCCTGGGATCATTTTCTAATCTGAGTTCTCAGTTCCCAGAAATGTATGTTATCTATAGACCTTTCCATTGTGCTCCTTGAGGAAAAACTTAAACATTCCTCAGAGGTTAATTTTCTCTCAAAACACTATTGTGTTTTACCCAGTGTATCTGCCCTTTTATAAATACGTTTATGTATTAATTGTTCTGTAGCAGTGCCAAATCTCAAATCAAGGACAGAGGGGCCTGTTGCATTATTGGTTTTCCGTACTCTGCATACTCTGTATTTCAGGGTCAGGAATATGAAGAAACAATTAGGAAGGTTTATTCACATGAGCTGGCTTGTTTTCATTAGCAAATTATATAGAAATATATATTCTATCTATATAGAAATATATCTTCTTCAAATTAGTTCCAAGGATACCTAGATTGATAGGTAGTATTTTTAACTGCTTCTGAGTATTTTCCTGGCGTTTGTTGGTTCTTTTTTAGTTGCTGCTCAAGCTTGAGGAAACAGGTTTAGAAACTGAAGGAATTCTACGCGTTCCTGGATCTGCCTCCAGAGTCAAGGTACATGCTTGTGCCAGTTTTCTGTCTCCTGGACCATAGACTCTATGTAAAACAATACAGCACACACAAATTCACACTGCACAAAAATACGGATTTGTGTAGCTCAGCATTTCTATTCCTACCAGTGAAAGGTCATTTTGGTTCCTGGGAACCAATAAATCACAGAACTTGTGATCTATTGCTTTGTATTTGTTAATGCTCTACATAAAGCACAGACTTGACATTGAATGCCGTTTTGCTCCAGTAAACACTGAGGGATCCTTTCAGTTTATATCTATCGTCCGAAACTGCTGTGATCTTATCTCTGTTTTAATTTATTTCATAAATCCAGAGTTACTAAACCGAGTGTATTTGAGATAAAGATCTTATTCTATGTCAGTTTAACCTTTATGCCATTTTATTTCTCATTTATCATCTGTGATCTTACAATTTCATGTTCCAAGTGAGAGAAACTTGGCCTGCTTCACTGTTTGGCAGCCTAAAGTACTGCATTTTCACAAGCTATTTGCAGACTACGAACACAGGAAAGTTGGTACCCAATAACTTATTGTGGTGCAGTAATGCTTGCAATTGTTTCTGTAGACTAACTTGATTCCAGGAGCTGGAAGCCTTTGGCAGAGGCAAATTAGGAAAACAAGCTTCTTACAGTTTATCCAGCTCCCACTTTCTCACCCTCAGGAAGGCTAGTCCTGTTTTCTGAGGCAGGAAGTCTCTGCATTCTGGCAGCCACACAAATGTTGGGGATTGCTAAACGTTGATAGGCTGGGGATCTTCAAAATGACTGATCAAGGAAAAGCAGCATTACATGAAACACCAAGGATAGGCAGTAGCTTACAGCTCCCTTTGACTCTGGATTGAGGAAAGCACCCAGCACCTTGCTAAGTGCTATATCTTGCCAAAGGGAGCTCCTAATTTGGCCTATGCTTTTCAGCTTCCTCATTTTTTCCTACAAATTCTTAAAGCATTATTTCACACAATCTCAACTTTTTCCAACGTCTCCGGGGAGATTACACAGCAGGGCTGTGCTCTAATTAAATTACTTTTGTATTCCTTGCATATACTGCACTGTGTCTTGTTCACTTCTTATTGACAGCCTATACCCAGGGAGCTGCTGTGAGATATGACTTTATATGTATACTGGGTAGTAAGTTAAAGTGCCCATATGAAAGCTTTAAATTGTTTGAGTTTTGGCTTCACTTAAGTCTGTCCAACAAGCCAACAAGCGAGAGAGGGTTTTTTTCAAAGCAGATCCAGATTTCATTCTTCAAAGCCTTCGTACATTATTATGACATTAGGATTTGAGAGCATTCCAATATCATTTCAGTCTTGTTTGGAGAAAGAAAAGTCATATGGAAGTGATTAAAGGTTACTCTTCTATAAAACAAAGAATAGAAGAAATAAATACAAGTTTTCCTCTGTAATCTAGTTTGTAACAACAGCTCCAGTGAACCAAAAATGTATGACAGTCTAATGTAGGATCAGTCACATTTAAAAAAAATTGAAAAAAGATGTTTTAAAAGTACTTAGCTGCATATGGGGGAGGGGGAGAGTATCAAATGTACATATGTGCTTGCCCTGTGGATATATATATTATATAAAATGCTTATGTTTCAAATATCTTGCTTTCTGTTCCTATGGCTTTTCCCCAGTTCTCAGCAGAAAAATGTGGGGTAGTTTTTCTGTCCTCTTGTGCTTTTGATGAGGGGAGGATTTCTATTCCACATTTTCCAGTCAGTTACCAAGAGAGAATTTAATCCAGGTGTTTGTATGGATTATGTGAAAAGGCTGCAAATATAAAGGAAGCTGAGATAGCCAGATTACAACCAGTAAAATGTGATAGTAAGAATGAGATTGTAACATTATATACCAAATCCTGAATGACTTTCTATTTCCTTTTGTGCCAACCATTCCACTTAATTATGTGTGACCATATTTGATATGTAATTTCCTTCCATTCATGTGAGACATGGTAAATGGAATTCATTTTTAGAAGCTTTTCTGTCTGAAAGGACTAAATTTTCTTGCATAATATTAAGGTACATTTGACAAAAACATGATCTGAAACCTGAACATTACCTACAGCAGCAACAAACTTTCTATGGATAAGGCAGTGTTTGGCCAGTAATAACTCTGAAAGCTGCATTATTTATGGATGTCCTTATAATACAATTTCATCTTTCAAGCTTATTAACCCAACAAATTTTTGAGGAGCTTGTATTTACAAACAGTGATCTGAGTTTGAAGCTAAATTCTGCTCCTATTAGGAACCTCACTGAGTACTTTTTCCAATTCACACACGTGTATGAAACACTGATTAGTTACCCTCCAGAACTAAGTAGACCTCTGTTACAGATCAAGATGCTAACATTGGAGAACAAGAGTTTGAAATGGGCACCAAAATGGTATAATCTGTTGTCTTAGTTCTCTTACTCTCTTGTGGTTTTGGGGTGCATGTATGTATTAAGTGGTAGTTTTCTGACAGTAATGGTTTGATACTTTTATTTAGTGATCAAATCTAATTATAGCTAACCTGAAAGAAAACATCCTTCTAAAGCCAGGAAGACCTGGATTTAAAGCCATTTGTTCAGGACCCATGGACTCATATGCCAGCAGACTATCTAGCAAACTCACTGGCACTGAAGAAGAAATGTCACTCCTCTGTGACTTAGAGGTCAAGACACCTGGAGAGTGTTTTAAAACAAACAAAAAAAACATTTATGCTAAAAATCCCATTTAATTGAATGTTTTGTTACTCCATCTAAGATAGTGCACAAAATTGTCTTGCTTTAAAATTGTTTAAATGGGTTGCCAGCAGAAATGTAACTATAGCAAACCAAATTTAGCCTTGGTTGCAAAGTATCCCAAGGAACCTGACTTGTTAACCTGTTCTGAACTCCATGCAGCTGTACTTAGACCATAGTGATTTAGGGCTACTTTAATTGAATTGCAATGTAAACCTGCCTGTTGTTTGTAATGGGATTTCTGAAGTGATCTCAAACTGCCAGGTCAGAAGCAATGATTAAAGGTCAGATGTTCCTTTTATCTTTCAGAATCTCCATCAAGAACTTGAGGCAAAATTTTATGAAGACACTTTTGACTGGGACCAAGTACGAAATAATGATGCAGCAGGACTGCTGAAAATGTTTATAAGAGAACTCCCAAGCCCACTTTTCACAGTAGAATATCTGCCTGCTTTCATCACACTAGTCGAAAGTATGTGGAAATGGAGTTGGTATTGACTCATCTAGATAAAATGCTATAGTAGACATTACACCTTTTTCTCTCTCTGAAGTAGAGAGAAAAAAAAAGTGTATTTTTTTCTCTCTCTGCAGTAGAGAGTACGTTGCTTAAATATTTAAGTTTTCTGCAAGTTTTCCTTTTCAAATGGAAAATAGTCTGCATTTAGCTAATAGCATAGATTCATGTGAATGCCATAACAGTTTAATGAAAGACTGGAAACCTCTGAGCAAACAACAGCTGAGGAATGACTTTCATGTTTAGACCCTGATTCTCACGAAATATAGATTTCACAAATGAAAATTTTGTAAGGTAAAGTCAAGTCACTGCCCTTTAGCTGATATTCTGTTGGATCTGTTGTCTTTCTCTGAAGGTTTGTGCTGAGGTCAGAATATCTGTGCAAAGATACGTGTGATCACAGAAAACGTCAGGCAGTTGGGTTTTGTTTTCAGTGTACATACAGCCTCTCATTCCCAGTACATTTTGTTCATTTCCTCTCCAGGAAGAATGCAGTAGTACCTTGGCATGCCTATTGATTTCATTGTAAGTTCCCTTGAGCTAGGACAGAGTAAAACTATCAGGATGGTAAATTTATTATGCAAATCAGTACAGAAAACTAACAACCTGGTTGCAGCCAAGTTTTCGGTGTCTCCATGAGATAGTTTAAAACACACAGGAGGTAACCCGTTCTGTAACCTTCACATACCTGAGTGTGTTCCTTGTGAGCCCCAGGCTGCATGCAGTCACTGTCACTTAGCGGTTTGTAGGAGAAGACTAAACAGGAGGTGTCTGCTTTACTCCCTACCACAGACATGCTGTCCATATCTCGCAATCTATCTCCAAAACTCTCAGTCATTCTGAGTGGAAGCAAATGACAGAGCTTTTCTTCCCATCTTCTTCACCCTAGCTTTTCTAGTGAGCATTGCAAAACAACAGTATATACTAATTGTGAAAACATGACGGCATTTGTAACTGACAAAGCTCTATATTTATCTAGAGTGCTAGATTTGCGACAAATACCTTTTAAGCTGTAAGCAATTAATCTCCACTCCAATGGCACAAGCTTTCATCAAATTACTCAATAACATTAGTCTGAAAATTCTCTGAAAACAAGTTTCCATTTCAGTTTGAAAGGGGGAAAACACTTGTTCCACATTTGTGGCATATTCTGACCATCATATCAAAGAGAAACTGTCTAGTACTGAGAACTACTGGCTCCTTGCCAATAGAAAGCCTTGTCACCCCTCATGATAAAGACCCAATATGATGAGGGAAAACCCACTCATTGAATGGATTTTATATTTGGAAAATGGACCTAAACATGCTGGTCTCAACCAGGCAGTGTTTGCTGCATTTCTAGAACTGCTGACCAACACAGTTTTTAGAAACTTGCAACAGGGATTTCAAAAATATTAATTATTCATATTCTTAGAAATCTCCAAGATCAAGTTACAGCTACAAGCTTTGCATCTGTTGATCATGCTGCTTCCTGAGGCCAATAGAGACACAGCCAAGGTAAGCTCTTAATTTGCTACCACCTGCCATCTGTGGTGCTTTTGATTTTAAATGACACTTTTGTTTTTCCTAACAGTCAGAGGTCAGACACTGCACTGTGAAATGATTTATCTGTGAGTTTTGTCATTTCCTTGGAAAGAATTGGGGGGAAAAAAGTAAAAATCATGGGTTGGGATAAAATCAGCTTAATAGGACAGAAAAGGAAGGAACAATAATAATAATAATGATATAATAGAATTAGAATATACAAGTGATGCACGATACAGTTTCTCACCACTTGCTGATCAATGCCCAGCCAGTTCCCAAGCAGAGGCTCCCGGCCAGGTTTCCCCCAGTTTATATGCTGAGCACGTCACCATATGGCATGGAACATACCTTTGGCCAGTTTGGGTTGGCCGTCCTGGCTGTGTCCCCTCCCAGTTTCTTATGCCCTCCCCCAGCCTCCTTGCTAGCAGGGCATGAGAAGCTGAAAAGTCCTTGACTTAGGGTAAGCACTGCTCAGCAACAACTTATATCGTCAGCGTGTTATCAACATTATGCTTATACTAAATCTGAAACACATCAATGGACCAGCTACTAGGAAGAAAATTAACTCTATCCCAGCTGAAACCAGGACAGTGTTGTAAAAGGACTCATTGGCAGAGCCCACCTCTAACCCCAGCTGCAATCCATCCTATTCAGTCAACTCAAGTGAAATTCTAAATAAAACATCCAAAAAGAAAATTTCTCCTTTGTCAAGAATTGACGTCAATGAGCAACCACTGAGCCCTTTCTGCTTTCATTATCCCAGAATAAAAGTCTGGGGGCTGCTGGCAGAAAATCTTCATATTATATCACATATGGGACTGGTGTACATTTGAAGAGAGGCTGATCACCCTGGTGATTGTAATATAAAAAGCCTTGACCGGATACATCAAAATGGGAACCTTGAAGTCTATGAAGAAATTAACTGTTCAATCATAATACTTGTTCCTCTCCTACAGGATTCAGAGCCTTAGTGCAGACACTGTACTTGACTTATATATTTTAGATTATGCTCTAAGTGATAGATAATTTATTAGTGTATATTTTCATAACACTATTCTTCTATGATTGACACAGATGGTTGTGCCAGCAAATATCAGTAAACCAAATTAGAACGCAAAACCCCCTAAATTTCATCTCCAAGTGCAACTATAACAGCTTTCGAGCCAAGCATGTTTTATGTTTGCAAATGCTGCGTTTAAGAAATGTTTTGTGAGACTCAGAATAAAAAGTGTTGTTTTTCCAGGCCTTTCTTCAGTTCCTGAAGAAGGTGGTTGCTAATGAAGGAAAAAATAAAATGAATTTGTGGAACGTTTCTATGATTGTTGCACCAAACCTCTTCATCTACAAAGGGAAACGGGCAAACCAACAAGAAATGCAAGCAGCTGCCACTACAGCACATGTTGTGCGGCTTTTAATTCGGTACCAGGACATCCTGTGGACAGTGAGTAATGCTGGTTCCCTCTTTATGGCTCCAATACAGAGAAGTGTTTTGTTCTGCATAAATAAGAGTAAACTGATCTTCCTATAAGAAAGTTAGCTATTCTTTGAAAACTGGATGAGATATCTAGAATGAGATAGGGTGACAGAACCTCTGGACAGAGATTTACTTCACCTAAGACATTCATTTTAGCACAAATTGCCCTATGGAGGTACCTATCCTGCACCATTTTTTATACAGAAGAATGCACAGGAGAATGATTTAATCTAGATGTCTAGGTGAGATGTCTAAACATTACAGCAGTCTTCCAGTACCTTAAGGGGACCTGCAAGAGTGCTGAAGAGGGACTTTTTACAGTGCATGTAGGGACAGGACAAGGGGCAGTGGTTTTAAACTGATTTAGTTGGATATAAGGAAGAAATTCTTTACTGTGAGGGTGATGAGACACTGGAACAGGTTGCCCAGAGAAGTTGTGGATGCCCCATCCCTGGAAGTGTTTAAGGCCACGCTAGATGGGGCTTTGAGCAATCTGGTCTAGTGGAAGGTGTCCCTGCCCATGGCAGGGCGGGAGGAAGTAGGTGATCTTTAAGGTCCATTCCAAGCCAAACCATTCTTTGATTCTGTGAATGAGATTAAATGACTGCTTAAAATACAGTCCATAATAATATGGGCTAAAAGTGTGTCCTGCCTGCTGGACTTCAGAAGGTTGGCATGAAGATGACAGTCTTGGCTCCTTTCCTCCAAACAGAGGGAGGGTATGATGGGTATTGCAAAGACTACCTCATAATAAAGTTCCTATAACTGCAAATATCACTAAAAGTTTCACATGGTATAAAAGATGATCTACAGTTTCACCAAAGGAATAACTGGGTTAATTGTTAGAGGGACCTCCTAATCACATGTACTGTCTGGGAATGAATAGAGTTTTCACTGCTGAAATTTTGATGCCTTTCTAAAGCCCCAACACTAGTTTTACGGGGAGAAAAATTACTGTATATTCTTAGTCCTGGTTTCCTCCATGTAGGTCCCATCCTTCTTGATTTCCCAAGTGAGAAAAATGAATGAAGCAGCAATGAACAACAGCAAAAGGCAGCTGATGTTTGACAAAGGAGTAAGAAAACTTCTGAGGAGAAAAACCATGGAACGGGAGAGACCTGAAAGACCAGAGGTGTGGTAAAAACTTATCAAGTGTAGTTTTAACCAGCCTCCCTCCTTTCTTACCTCATAAAAGCTTCTGGAGGTGGGGGGGAGGAAATTTTGACATACAAAATAAGCTGATTTGGGAGCTAGCTTGAAATCCGAGTTTCCAGCCCAACATCCTGGTAAGACAAAGCTTTGGGAATTGATTGAGAAAATGTGGGAAAGGCAGAATTATTTCCAGTTTGCCTAACAGACATCAAAACTGGGACTAAATCTTAAATGCCTAAGTGGTTTTTTTACTGAAATAGTCAGAGCAGAGAGGTGAATACTTTTGAGGACTTCAAGAGCTCTAGGTGCAGTTCAGACTTCGGGAAGTCTGACACAAAAAATCTTCCTTTGGAGGTCTTAAAGCCACCAACTTTTCTCTACTGCCTAGGTATGTAGTTTAGGAACTTGCTTGGGGAATTGCTACTTCAATACACCTAAAAGCAACTTATATATTAGGTGTAACATACAATTTGGGCAACAAAGCAGGTTGCGTACACATGCACAACATATACACTCCCTGTAACAGCTTATATGTAATTTTTCCATGCGGTATCTAACCTTTAATAACCCAGAGAGAAAGTATTTAGAATCTTCCATGCAGGTTTAAAAGAACTAGTCAAGGTCTCTATAGTTATTGAAGAATAGTCTTGAGGAGCAACAGAAAAAAGAAATTGAGAAAGAATGATACAAGTGATTACAAACAATAGAGAAGAAGCCACTTAATACAGACAACAGAGAAAATGCAGAAGGGAGTGTCTGAGGAAAAAATTAAAAGAAATCCTATGTATGAATTGTGAATCCATGCTAATCCAGCTTTTTGGAGAATTTATTCATCAGTACTGACTGAAATATATTGTGGGTAGGACACACATTCATGCTGCAGATGGAGAGAGAGATGTTTGTTTAAAATTGTGGTGTAGACTACTGTGTTTCAAAACTGTATTCACCCTGGAACGAATACAGTGAGAGTTTCTGAGGATAGTCAATTACTGCAGTCATTGCACCTTTGGGAAGAGAAGTTCATTGATCGAAATTGGCTTTGCATCTAATAAAAACAAGAGTAGCCATCTCAGGTAGCTGAAATATGAAGGGTAAATTGGAGGCGAACTCCGTTTGGATAACTAAGTTGAATTCTGAGAGCACTTAACACAATCCCCAGGTCTCAGACGTTCTAAATCACACAGGGACAGAGACTGGAGAGACCATTGTGCTCTGCTCAGCATGGTATTAACTGGATTAGAACCGGAATGCAAATCTTGCTAATTGATTTATCTGCCATTAATCATGGAAGAGTGCATAAACTTCATAGATGATCATTTGAACCCTATTCAAGGTCAAATTTCAAATTAACAGAAACCATATGGTACTTTGATATTTTACTGTACATACACTTCGATCTAGTTCAAGCCGTAGGAAGCAGAAACAAAGAGCTGGATCTTCATGTCCCAGGAGAATCTCATCTTTGAAAGGAAGAGTAGATATTGCTAATAATTTTTATGTATTTTTAAATAGGCAGTTGGTTCACTGACCAATGTGAACAGAAATTATTTTTAAAATGTCAGATAACAACTTAATATTACTGTAAGCAGTTAAAATTTAAGGGCTTTACTTTGTTCTATGTGCATTTATGGCATACTTACCAAAAAATTTGATCTTTGTGTTGTATTTTGCTACACCGTACCTACAAATTTGCATCTGTGTGACTATAAATATGTTTTTTGAATAATCGAGTCCAGGGCAGTGATTTTTGCAAGCAAACTCAAAAAGAATTGCAGACTGTTTCTGAATGGACCAAAAGCAGTATTTGCCTTAGACTTACTCTACTGAATATTGTTTTTAGGGAGCTGTCACTTTTCCCCCATACCTGCAGTCTGACATACCTGAGGGGGTGATAAGAGTTTATGCTCCACTGCATTCAAAAGTCTCTATGGCAATTCAACTCAACAGCCAAACAAAAGCCAAAGACATCCTGGCTCGATTCCACTGTGAAAACAGGTGGGTAAACCAGAACGTTTTGTTTTTCCTGAACAATAATATCAGAACCATTAATGAATAGATTGTTCCCTTTTCAAATGCTTATTGTGCTATTGAACTTTTTTTCTAATCTAAAATTGATAATTTATGGTTATGTTGGTCAAAGAAACTATAACCATTGACTTTATTCTTCATATTGTACCTAATATTTGGCTCCTATAGAAAATCAATCTGCCCTCTGTTATGACACTACTAAAAATATACCTTCTATAGATTCGCTCCATAGAGAACCCAGAGGGATTGTCTTACATCTGCCCATAAAATGTTAAAACTTTTTGTCACCAAGTAATTCTGTTCTTTAAATAAATAATATGAAATAAATAACAGAAGGTTTATGTAACTGCAACACAGTAATCTATCTCTATAGCAGATTCAGTATTCCGAAGTGCTGCGTTTGGTAGAAGTCCATTCTTTTGATAAGTAAGTTCACAGGGGCAAAAATACCAATTTTTAGCTTACTAGAGACGGCAGCTGATAAAGCAGTGGTTATAAGAGAAAGACAAACTAAAGTTTTTTTCCATCTTAGCCACGGATCATCACAGAACATGAGAGGCCAGATCCAAAGTTTACATGAAATTGGAGGAAATATAGGTACGTCTTCATTTTGAAAATTCAATTTGGAATGTCCGTAGCCTCCTTAATGTCCTCAGGCAGTGCTATTTTCACACAGCTGGGTTTCTCCTATCCTCCAGTCCATCTGCGGGAAAGAAGCCTGACCCAAAAGGTGTCAAAATCAATATAACAATTTCTTCTGACTCCAGTGTGATTGGAGGGGCACCCTACAGGGGATAGTGACCTGATGGCTGATCTCAGCAGGACCCCTTACAGTCTTGCCAAATTCATCTGACCTTTCGCTTTCCTCTCTTACTCTCATAACTGAGAATTTTTCCATGGTTAAGAGACCCTCAGTCGTCTTCTTGCAAGCACATTCCACCTCGCTGTCAAGCCTTTTCCCAAGACCTATTTCTTCCTTTCTGTATTTAAGTGTTAACCTCCCCCAAAGAAAAAACACAGAATTGAGAATTCAGCCCCTGCATATATTTGTGTAATATACTCATACTAATCCATGTGCTTTATTTAGATTGTAAATTCCTTGCAGATTTTGTCTTCTTCCGTGTTTCATGCAGTGATATTTTTGTAATAACAACATAGGCTTGCCACACAAGTTTCTGGCCTAAAGGTCAAAACCCAGATTTTAATTCGATATTGCACAGTCCTGACTCTCTTCTTTCTCCTTTCATACTAAAACTCTGGATGCTCTGTTGGAGTCTTTTGTCAACTGTCTGATTAGATTATGCCTTAATTCTTCTAGATTCAGTTCTAAACAGTTTCTATAAAATCATCATGAAATATCACAGCCTTGCTTCAGCAGCAGTCCAGAAGAAAACTCTTTATTACTGAAGGTATACAAAGCTAAATTTGATTAGTTATTTGTTTTGCCTGGCTAAAGAGGATAGCCAACCAATGCTAAAATAGGAGATCCTAAAAGCCGTGTGAAACTATCCTGAGTATTCCCACCATGCTCTTTCCAAAACCTAGACTTTTAATTTTCATCTTCATTTAAAATTATTTTTATAGTCCTAGATCTTTCAGGGTACCTTAGGCTACTGATTATGCATTAATTCATTTATATTGCTTTCATCTGAGTAAAATCATTAGGACCCAAGTGACCTTGTAAGTAACTGCACAAGAATTTTACCATAATCCTTTGTGTCACCGCAGTGTACCCTCCCCAGTTAAATGGCTCTATCACCCAGTGTAAATGCAATATAAGTCCAACAAATCAACTTAACTCAAGAATTTATTGTCTTACTACTCAATTAAGTAATAAAGTAATTAAGAGGCACCAAATGCCTCTTCCCCTCTGCCTGCAAAGGCAGTAGGGGCTCCCCAACCACCCAACTCTTATTCCCAGTCACCACCTCGCAAAATCCTCAAATGGTGATACTTAGGAGGACTTTTATTTTTTAACCAGAAAAACAGCAACTGCTGTAGTCCCAGTATTTCTTTGCAAGACCCTAGCTGGATGGGAACACATAGTTTACAGAACTACTTTTTCAGAATTTAAAAATGGTGTAGAAATGAAGTCAGAGAGTTGCAATTCCAGCTCAGTAAATCCAAAGAAATACCTCCCCCCCCCCCATACTGTGGCACTTACAGTAACAGTGTTGTTAATGCTTCTAAAGAAGCCACAATGTTTGTTCACCATTTGAGTAAATGTCTTGTCCATAACTCAGTTTAATGCAGGACATCTTGCCTGGAAGTGAAACTGAATTCATGACTCTCAGTGAGTAAAATCAGTCACAAATTTACCAAAGCCCCTGCCTGTATCCAGGCGAGATATTAGCGGGTCACACTGAACTAGGCTGCCTATGTACAAGTCAAAGATGTATTCAAGGACATTTTAACACCATTCATCCCTGCCCATGGCAGGGGGGTTGGAACTAGATGATCTTAAGGTCCTTTACAACCCAAACTGTTCTGTGATTCTATGATCATTTCCCATATACTAACATGCTCAGAATATGCTAAGATTCATGCTGTGGATTCCCGTTTCAGGTCAACACTGTTTGGATCCAGACGCACACATGTTAGATGTTTACCGTGCAAACCCTCAGGCAGAATGGGTGATAAAACCAAAAGCAAGCTGAAGCACAAGCCTGTGGTGTACTGGACAAAAGCCAAATGGGCAAGAGTGATGCCTGTCATTTTAAGAAGCTCTTGCCAGAGACAAAACAAAATGGTAGCTACAGAACATCATTCCTTCCTACCGTACTGTCCAACTGATGGTCACCATTTTTGGTATGAGCAATATCACTCCAACTTCTGGGCCATCAGAAAATGTCATATCAGTTACACTTTCATACAGATTACATTTGTGCCAGTTAGCCCAGGAATTAAGGAGGACAGACCAAGGTACGGTGCACAGAAAACAACCGGAGTTGTTTGTTTCCTGACCTGATGTTAGAACTTGAATTTTGTGAGAATCCAGTAGCATCCAAGGGTGTATGAAACACTACAGACCACAGTGTAACACAGAAGTGTCACTGAGATGTTGAAGAGAAGAAGGTATCTGTCAAGCATTGAAGAGAGGCACTCGACCTGCAGCAGTGCCAAGACATGGCTGTGTGACAAAATCAAACCTTTCTACTGGAAGTAAACCTGTACAGTCTGCATTATTGCAATATTTGTCTCTCAGTCAGTCCTCATGAATACCTGACGCTGGGGGAGGAGGGAAGCAGGAGGAAGAAGTACTGCATAAACAGCTATACAGCTCCATGTATGTTCACCATGTACCAGTCTTCCAAAACTGTCTGTCTGGATCACATTACTGTGTGCAATTGTAGCTCCACAAAACATTTTATCCTTCCTTCCCCTGTGACATACACAGGGTTTGGGAGACAAATGCTGGGTGAGAAGGGCATATTCCCCTGACTCTATCTTTTATTTGATAGTCTCAAATTTAAGCCTGTGTAATGCCATAATAATATGATATGTGTTAACGGTGCCACTTACAGCCATCACCTTTTTTGTTAAACATTATAGTTTCTTAATTTGTAACCTATTTTTCTTTTGTTTATTTTAGCTTTAAGATGTAAGCAACTTTTATACTATTCAGCCGCACTGAAATGAGAGATCTTTGTCTGGATCTTGTAAAATACAGCATAGAGAATAAAAAGCTTCCAATAAGCAGAGGGATTTAACACCCTCATTTAACATTTACAAACTGGGGCTTTAAAACTACAGCCAAACTAGGCCCAGTTGTGCTGGGGGTTTTACAAATACATAGCAAATAGCAGCTCTTTTTACAGATGGCGTGTAGTCTATGAAAACACATAGGCTGGAGAAAGAACAGTGGGCCACAACTGCATTGGGAATGAAGCATAGCAAATGTAAGACAGTATGCCTAGTCTGTAGCCAAGTCTGTAGCCAGTCACAAGGGTGAGCACTATTCTTCACCTAACCCTTTTGTTCTGGATTATACTTTTACAGAACTGAAGCATGTTTGCTCAGTAAGGAAATCACAGGTCTCTGGAAAACGACAAGTATTTTTTTCATCTTTGTCTTATGCAGAAAATGGGAACTGATGCCTTCAACTGCACTGCAGTGCTTGTCACTGGGTGACGATATTGCACAATGAACTCACTCAGAGTCTCAGCAGCGGGTTTTGCTCCTCACCTGGACACACATATCAGGCAGAAGCTAGTGCTCTGTTTACCAGGTAACAAAATAAAAGCAGTCTGAACCAAGTCCTCCAGGTGAACATAAAGTACACTGTCCTGAAGAGTGATGCTCTGCTGCAGCTGTGCTACGAAGGCTTGCACATTCTAGAAATACTACTTCTGGTTCAAAGCATTCTCCAGTAGATAACTTTCACTGTTAGTGTTCAGTGTGAGAAAGCAACACTGAATCAGTAATTTTACCAGCAACAATAATGTCTACAGAGGGCAGATCCAATCTCTCTTCCTTACTATAAAATTTTGCATCATCATTTCATTTCTTTAAAATACTGTAATTTTTAACTTACTTTTTTTTTTCCCCTTAACACTAACAGAGGCATATCTGCAGCCAGGAAAAGATTGGGGCAGTGGCATTATAAAATACACTGCTTACTTTGACAACTATTTATTTTAAGTATATGAGAAACAGTAGATCTGTGGTTTGCTCATAGAACTAAGCATAAAGGTTTTGTCAAGTGCTTTGTTCTTGATTCCCTTTAGTTCCCTCTGGGGAAATGAACAACTCTTTCTACTATGCTGCCCTTTACTCTTAGGTATAAAATGGGACTAGTACTTCCCTTATAAAGATAAAATGAGAATTAGTTGAGTTAAATTCTGCTCTCAGATGCAGCCAAACAATTCCCTGAGCAGATCAGAAGTTATAAACACATCCAAGAAGGACAAACTCAGAAAAGGGACTTTATGTGGAAAGTGCTTTGAATTTGACAAGCATCATATAAATGCTAAGCATAATTGTACCTATAGCCAACAAAAAAGCTTCTATGACTACACAGAAAGCCTAAACATTAACTAAAGAATTTGAAGTGTCATAGCAAACGAGAACCTTCTACAATACTTTCAGACAGATACGCTGACCTCCTCAGTCTTGCCCACTCACTTCACTCCATGTTCGCAATGGCTGTGTAAGGGAAAGTACAATGCACCCATGTGTTCACACCATAACTTGCTCAGCATGTTCTGGACCCTGAAATTAGGACTTCGGAATTATTTCTGAAGTAGATCCCACTGTATTCTGTATGGGATACAAGGGGCTTTTGGAAGACTTCCACCTTTTACCACTTTGCAACTTAGGAAAGCCAAATTTGATGTCATGGAATCCATCCCATGAACATTTGTTTTACGCTAAAATTGCCTATAACTGTATAAGACATGCATATTAGCAGATGAACTAGATTCTACGTACAATGCCCTGAATAATACAGCACGGTCAAATACCTGCTGTCTTTGAAACAGAATGGCAAAATACTCTTTTGATACAAATGGACCTAATGACCCATGTGTACTGTGGTTAATACTGTTACACATTAAGTTGTTTTGTGTTGTTATGGTGCACTAACTTGATTTAATATATCACGGACAAACTGAACAATCTCTGTGACACTTCTGAATATGAGGTCTCAAATTTAGGCCTTATAGTTTCAAAATGCTAGTGGAGGCAGTGGGAATTTTGTTCCTCTAACAGCAGTTGAAGTCAAAACAAAGTTATAATAGGATTGTCATCTAACAAAAAGCAACATACATGCATATTAATAAGAAAGTGGTAGCAAGCAGTTTTCAGCAAACTCCAAAGATGCCTCAACCACTTTTGTACTCCACGGTTCTGCAAAGACAGCATTTTGCATATCAACAGAGAGAGGGAGAATGTATTGCAAGGAGGAGGTGTTGGAAAAAGACTGGAATGCTCTAACCTCTTTATGCATCTAATGTCATTAGAATGTCTGTGTGTGCGCAAATGTGTCTGTGTCTGCGTATAATATTAACTACCTCACTCTACATTTTCCAGGAAAAATATTTTGGCATAGAGGTTTACTATTCCAAAACTTTCTATTATTAAGTTCACCACTCCACTAGACCTATACATTGATAAAATGTTTCTCCTTCTATGAAAAAAGATTTGGAAACCACAAAGAAAGACATATTTCAAGGATATGGATGAAATTTTATCCAAAACATGTTGCCTCAATTACTGCGTGTAATATGAACCTTATGAGATCAGATCTTGAGGTTAATAGACAAAATACATACTGTGTTTCAATTTTTATTTTTCAATGGCTTTCCATCAATGTGCGTCTTCTCTGGAAAATAATACGATGCCACTAATCAAAGCAAAATGTTTGTATGTACGTTTCCCTTATAAACCTCATGTTATGTGTTGTTGAAGTAAACCCACACGTAAGAGTATCTGTACAGTAGAATGTGTCTGTTGTATTGTATTCATGTCAAAAATAAAAACAATACTGACAAAGAAAGCTCTTCAAATCTAAACACGTGGTTTTTGGATAGAAGCAGGTGACAGGAATTGCAAAAAGCAGTGGTGAATCTGTCTTAAAAGCAACTCTGTTGTTACAGCACCTGAATAGCTAGCTACACCAAGGACTACTTTCTGTCATCCTTGCTCAAGTGGAGGTACAAAATTACACTGGTTGGAATCTTGCCTCATTGAAATCAGTGACAAACGGCTTTCATTTGAACCAGTATTTTTCAAACTAGCATGAATGTGAATTAAGAATCGTAGAGCATCAAAGGTGCTTTCCTGTATCCTGTAAGAAATACTGTTTCAGAGGAAAGATGCATTAGTTCTCATTTCCAAAATACATATTTGTTCCCAAACAAGACCCAAATAGTTTCTTCACCAACACAACATTTGATACACATCTCTGTGCTGTGGAGTTGCTGCCTGTCCTGCAACTGATTACATGAAAGCATAAACAGGATCATAATCCTTCTAGACAATGTGGCTATAATGGGGGTCGGAAGCACTGAATATTTAAGGCAGAAGTAAAAGGGACTGGAGCTACCACAGAAAGTATAAATAAGAATAGTCTTTTAACTAGACTGTGAATCAGAGACCTTCAAAATTATGCTTTAGTCTCCTGCACCCTCTGCTGGACTACATCCACTTCCACTTTTCACTTCTTAGCCTTCTCTCTCTATCTAACTGAAATGTACGGACAACTGAACTACATGAAATAATGAACAGTTTATTGTATTTTTATTATGCTGTCCAAAATTATTACCTTTTCCTAAAACGGCCAACACACAATAAAATGAAATACTGTCAAGCAATCAACACTGATTAATAAAAAAATCCCAAAAGAAAAATAACCAATTAATGCTATTAACATTGTAGTAGAGGTATTTGCTTTTTTAAACCATTTAGTTAAAATGCAGACATAAAGCTTCTGACTAAAAAAAAAATAAATGACCTGAGTTGGAAAACAACCAGAAAATCAAAGAGTTGTAGACTCTCACCAATTCTTCTCTTCATTACGAAATGAGAATGAAAAATCACAGATCAACAAACCCCCCCCCTCTCTCAGTCCAGACAGGCTTTGATGCAGTTCAGTGCTCAGCCCCAGGGCAGGAATGAGGAAAGGCTCCACGCAGGTCAAAAGCTCTGCTGAAGTCAAACAATTCTGCTTGTTGGCCCTTGGTCAACACAAGGTTCCTCAAACAGCCACGGAATGAGCTCTTGCTTGTGAGGCAGTTTTGCTTCACATCAGCTGAAAAACAAATGTGAAATATGTAGACTGTATTTCCAGTAAAAAGAAACAATACAAAGACTTAGGTTATTATTCAACAGCTTGTCCTCCTTCACCAGCAAGAGATAAAAGCAATGCCTGAGTAGTACCGTGTTCCATTCATGTTTGGGAATCTGGGACATCGTTCCATGGACAGCCACTACTGCCATCAAGCTAAGCCATGAACTGGGAAAACTTGGGCAGAGGTTACAGGAATAATTTGTCCCAAGGGAAAATGGGAGATGAAAGAGGGGAAAAGAGAGGAGAAAGGCATTCTACATAGGCATCTTTCAAGTTAAAATTGAAACTGGCAGAATATGAAGCGAAGCTGAACTGTACGCAGTCATGGACTCCATCAGCAACCCAAAACATGAGGCTGGGAGATAGTCCAAGATAGTCCAACTCTTCTTCCATACAACCTGTCAAACAATTCATTCAGCTTCTGCAGTACTCACTGAACTGAAGAATTTCTCCTTTCCCTACGAGCCCTAATCTTTACAGACAAAGCACTGAAAGAACAATTAGTATTAC